AGTCCTCTAGATTTGTAACATGACCTACAGGGATGATCTGAGATTTACTCAAATTAACCTTGAGGCCAGATACCAACTCAAAATTCCAAGCACCACCTCCAGCTGACTTGGTGAAGCATCACCAAAACATAAAGTGTCGTCAGAAAATTGAAGAATATTAACTTTTTCCTTGCCCGGTGCAATTGCAAAGCCATCCCAAAGCCCATTCTCAGCAGCCTTCTTGCTAAAAAGAGTTAGAATTTCCATGACACAAATGAAAAGTCAGTTTGCATCTCCAAATGGTTTTGTGGTTTGAATCTATTCTTGTATCTCCTTTGTACAGCCTCTGGTTGTACTTTTCTCTTGAATGAACTGATACTTTACTTCTTATCAAAAAAAAAAAAAAAATGTTTAAGTGAAAGGGATAGGTTGGCTTGGAATACAATACCTGCAGTGGTGTTTGGGTGCGTTTGGCAGGAAAGAAATGCTAGGATATTCAAGAAAAAAGGAACTTCCTCAGATATTATATTTCAGAGGATTGTGGAATGATGTTTTCATGGTTTAGATATTCAGAGAATGTTCAACGATTAAATTTTCAATACATCTTTTTTTGTCTATGAGAACCTTTTTGTAAAGAAACAGGGAGTGGGGACTTATGGCTGTGGAGACAGCAGGTTGTATATCCCCTGTGTACAGCTTCTTGTTGTACATGGTTTTGTTTTGGTCATTAATGAATTCATACTTTACCTTCTTTAAAAAAAAGATAGTGTAACCACATCTTGTTGATGGTCCTATTGGAGACAAAGTATCAGAACAGGATCCTTGCCCTTCTTTAACATCCCGGGCTGTCCTCTTGGTCTCAAAGGATTGGTAATGGAAGGTGACTTTCACCATTACCGATTTGTGACGCAGGCCAGGTAGTGTCCATGGAAACTTGCACAATTCAAAGAAGCTAGCAAGGCCTTAAGGATGAACATCTTGTCCAATGGATACCAAAGCCAAATAGATATTTTGACACTTAGAGGGTCTAAAATGGCATTCATCCTGAGCTTTAAGAAGGTGCAAGTTGAAGAACTCTTATACCATCATATAAGAGATGCTAGAGCCTTTGTTTCCAAATTCCAAGTGAACATCTCTTTTTTCCTGATTGATAAGAAGTGTTTTATTAATGAAAAAAAAAAAGGATGAGATATGCACAATGATCAAGCATCCCCAAGCTTAGGCTAGCCTATGCACTTGTTGATACAGAAGTTCCTATGGTAGTGCATGTCCCAGACCCCCATTAACCATGGAAGCCACAATCTAATTTGAAATTCGATACACTGATTTTACCTGGAGGACCAGCAACAGGTCTAGGTAAAACAGGGGGCCTGATTCCTGGAATCAATAGTGACGTCCCAGGTACCTGTGGAGCTCCTGTTGGCAAAACAGGTGTTGGCAGAATAGGAAGACGGGGTCTTTGAGGATTCGCTGGGAAAGAAGTGAGATGTTGATTGTATGCTGCACCAACTTGTTGGAATGCAGCAGTCTGCCCAAGATGCTCCTTGATCCTTTGGTCAATCAGACTTTGTGTTTGCTGCTCCTCAAATTGCTGATAATAGGAACGCACATTTGCCTGAAAGTGGCATATAGAGTGTCAGTAATAAAGAGGTTTTGTTTACGTGCACCAAAGGAAGTCATGTTTACTCTAAATATACTACCTTGTGTTTGTACCCTGCATTGTGYTGCTTTCTAACAGAAGGCTGCAACACAAAAAAGGAGGGTGAGTGACATAGAAGGTACATTTGTTTCAGCTTGAGATATGAGGATAAAGTTAAACACATACTACTTCAGTGTGAAAATTTTAAGAAATTTTCAAAATGTGAGAGTAAATACAAGCAAAATTATGTGGTTTTTTACTTTCTGGGTTGACATGGTGCAGTGTAGAAACCTATTTTCATATATATTCTATTATGATATAAGGCTGACCCAGGTCACTTTGGGAGCACCAACTTTGTTTTACTGCCCCTAAACATTTATCCAATGAAATTTTGGAAAAAAAAAAAAAAAGTCATAACAATGAGACAGATTTCTGAGAGAATTAAAAGGTTTTAAGAGCTTTAAAATGTCATTAAATCAGCAGCCGTTCTATTAAAAATGCCAAAATGAGACTCTCTCAGTTTCACTAATGTTAGAATGAGGGATGAGTACAACCATAACCTAAGGCTAAACATTATATATAACTGTATTAAAACCATAGAGAAATTTATGGATTTATCCCTTGGCTAGTGCCCCCAAAACTTATTTTATTTATCTTGGTTCTTGCTAAGGAGTCAGCAAGGCTATTGAAAGATCTAACCAAGTATCCAATATAGTTTTCAAGGCCAAGGCTAGGTGACAGGGGGGTGCCTAGTCGCCTAGTCGCCTAGTTGCCTAGGCGGGCGCGATGGATTTTTTTCAAGTGAAAACATGTATCCTAGTGTAGTTCCCTAGGTTCCATAATCATATTTCCTTAATAAATATCCATAATTTTCATAAGAAAAGTATAAACTTCATGTTAAAGTATAGAAAATCAACATATTCCAACATATTCATGAGAAGAAAAAGAAGAAAGAAAAGAAAATTCGAAAAATCTGAACCCCTATTTCTGTTATAAGAAAAGAAGAAAAGAAGAGGTGGAAGAAGAAGAAGAAGAAATTAGTATATAAAAACACAAAATTAGTAAAGAAAAAGAAGAAAATGTGTTGATTTGACAACATTTTATGTTCTTTCTTACTTCTTGGTTCAGGTTTTGAAGTCTTTGAGGGTTCAATACAGCATTTAGCAACGTTTGTGTTGATTAAACCCTAACAAATAAGAAAATGACAAAAAGAAATTGGTATATAAACACACAAAATGAATATTTTAGTTTAAAAATGTTTATTTTATAATTATAACCTCAAAAAATTAAGAATATAAAAGTTTGTTATAACATGCTATAGAAAACTGCTTGGCAATTAGGCGAGGTGAGACTCCAAGGGCTCCTTGGCACCTAGGCATCACCTAGGCGCCCGCCTAGGCATCGCCTTGACAACTAATCCATGTCAGCAATCCTGTCTTCTGCTACTTACATGAATTACTCACTATCTTTGTTTCTTTTATTTGGTTTTTGTCAAGTTTGTGGGGATGAAGAACCAAAAATTGGAAGATTAAAACAGAAACGAAGAGAATGCTAACAGCTCAAACTTAAAATCAATCAATAAGATGAAGAGACTGCGAAGAGGAGGTATGTCTCTCGAAGCGTTCGTGAATGTGAAATCCAAGAGAAGAGACTACAGTTCAGCTCTTATCAAAAAGCAAAGAGAGTTCTATAACAATGCAAAATATGTGAAAAGGTACAAGAAATTGATGAAGCAGCAAAATGAAACAAAGAATCAGCTTTCTGCAACTACAAATTTACTAGAGGACCATAGTGAAACTGAAGATAGTAGCATGAGGACGAAAAGGCAAGGATGGAGAGAAAAGCAAACATTCAAGCAAAGAAGTAAGAGAGAAAAAGAGTCCAAGCTCATAGAATGACTCTAAGAGAGAAGATGTTTAAGAAAACACAGTCAGGTCAGCCTGTCATGAAGTACAGCATTGAGCATCTTTTGGAGAGTATTGAGGCTTCTAATAGTTAGGTTCATCATATGCCTTATGGATTTTCATCCCAAAATTTTTGGTATCCCAACTGGTAAATCATGTATGAAGTACTCAGATATGACAAATAGTACTTTGGAAGAGATTATAAAAAAAGGGCAGCCCAGTGCATGAAGCTCCCACGAATGCGGGGTCTGGGGAAGGACAGATGTACGCAGCCTTACCCTGCACATACAAAGAGGCTGTTTCCAAGATTTGAACCCTGGTCACCCACGTTGCAATGGAACAACCCAACTGTTGCGCCAAGGCCCTTGGAAGAGATTTATAAACAAAAAAAAAAATGTGAACAAGCAGTTCATGACATATGCCAATGCCTTGCTTCATCAAATTCTCAGAACTAAAGGATCTTCTATCCTTGCCAATACCACAAACTGACAGTCTCCTACTACCACCATAAAGCCTGTCCATCCCAACTTCAGTCCTTGAAGAACAGCAAGAAGTTCTGGAAAATTAATGTATAAGCATCTAAACGCTCTTTGTCTCTTAATTAAAATCAAAAAAAGATAAGTAAATGGGGAGAAAAATGTTCTCTCAATCTAGGTTATAGAACAAAAGTGTGTTGATCTCCTTCTGAATTAACAGTGGTTTGAAACTACAAACTAAAATGAATGAGCATAAATCAGATCATCTTTATCATAACCAGACCAAGGAAAGTTTTATTAAATAAAAGGAAAACATAAGAGACATAGTTGTCAAGGCGTTGCCTAGGCGACTGGGCACCCTTGGCTGGGCGCCTCGCCCAAACACCTTGACTTTTAGCTACTAGGCGCCCTTCTAGGTGACTAGGTGCCCACCTAGGCGATTAAGCGCCCACCCAGGCGACAAAAATGACAAGACAAGCACCTTTTATAATATCATTTATATTGTTGTATCTTATTAATGTATGTGATAAAAGATTTTACTATATGCTATAATATATATATAGCAATTATACTTTGTTTAATGTTTTACTATTCAAATTTAAAAGATCAAATGGTTTTGAGGAGAGAAAAAATAAAGAAAGAGGAAAGAAAGAATCGAATTATAAAGAGGTTATTTTTTTTCTATTCTCTCTCTCCCTCTGATTAAATAAAACAGAAACTTCTTTAGCTGCTAATTGATATGAAATTGCTCTACTAGTAGTATTATTTTTGAAAATAATGAAATTAATAGTATGTAAAAGATTTTTTATCTTTTAGATGTGATGATTTCCACATTTTTGGAGGAAATTTAATGTTCTTAATAAAGAGAATTGCTATTTTTTTCAATTAATATACATGCTGAATGGTATATAAAACTATGTAACTAGCCAAAAGTTAGTTTTTTATATTATAAATTTTTTATCGCCTAGGCGACTAGGGGCCCAATGTCGCCCAGACGCCTAGACATCTTGAAAACTATGATAAGAGAAAATTACTCAGAAATCTACTCAAGAAACCATTGGTGATCCAAAAAAAAAGGAGTATGAATCCCCCCTGCTAGGGAGTTAGCAGATCCTTAGATCCAGATTTTCCTAATTCCTAAGATAGCTTCATTTCAATTAAATTTGTTCGTCACATTCAATTTGCCTTGTGCAACACAACGCTACCTTAGTTCACTCTCAGATCTTACTGTTATCTGACAAAAAAAAAGGCAGTCCGGGTCATTTGATTGTTGCAAGAGTTGAAGCTTGTTTAGGTTCTTCATGCTTCATGGTAATACCATGGGACTAGGCCACCATTTTTAAGCCAGATCACCACCTTCTGTATTTCCTTCTACTACCAGATTTCTACAGTTGAAAAAGACCCTGTCAACCTCAAACCCTCTAGTCTTGCTAATAATAGCAATAGTAAGTTTATTGCCAATAGTTGGAAAATTAAAAATCAGGCAATTCACACTTGAAACTCCAAAAAAATACTTCACTATGCCTTATAAGAGCATCCTTTACGTGTATCTCTCTAAGGAGTACAGTCAAAGTGCTTTCATAATAACAATGAAGATGAGAGCTCCATGGAAAACCCGGGAATGCCAGGTATGGGAGGTGTTTTTAGAGATTCTTCAGGCAAGGTGAAGGCTATGTATTCAGAACCTATAGGGTTGGGAGATTCACTTAAGGGTGAACTGATGGCTTTATTGCAAGGCTTATAATTAGCTAAGCAGTCTAGCTTCAAGAACTTGGAAGTAGAAGGAGACTCAAAACTGGTATTTATCAAAAAAAAGGAGACTCAAAACTGGTTGTCTCCTGTACCACAACTAGGCACCATGTAACTTGGATCTATAGACATGCCCTTAGGGAACTAGAAAGCCTGTCAAAGGATTTGAACTCTACTTTTGCCTGGGTAAGGACTGCAAATGGGTTGGCYGATACAATAGCAAAGCAGGGGGTCTATAGGCAGCAGTTGTTTTGGGCATTATTGCAACTCTTTTGATTTTGGGCATTGAATCATTGTCTACTGTATCTATGGGTGGCTGGATATCCGCTCTTATGTAATTAATTGTTTTCGCATATTAATACAATTAATAAGATTTTCTTGCTGATCATAGAAAAACAATGAAGGTGAATAACTGCTACCCTTCCGGGAGAAGTTATGAATTCCTTTTCTTAGCACTGGGTCTCAAAACGAACACCAATTGTGGTTTCCAGAAATCTAGTATAAGTGGATTCTGCTACAGCAATTGGGTGGCAAATCTCCCACTTTTTCAGATAGGGTATATGTATCATTTCCAGATAGAATCTCATTCCAATGGATATTCAAACCAGCCAATAAGAGCACTGATGGCCTGTTAGGGAAGCCAAGAAGATAGAAAAGTTGATGAGGGATTTTTGTGGGAACCAGGTGCAGAGAAAAGGGATCATTTGATTAGATGGGAGGTGGTGAGTCGAAGCAAGGAACAAGGGGGCTTAGGGTTAGGGAACCTAGTAAATAAGAACGAAGCTCTTTTGGGCAAGTTATGGAAGTGGCCTCTGGAAAGAGAGAGATTGTGGCATGAAGTGGTGGCTAGCATCCATGGTTGTTCTGAATCTGGTTGGGATGCCGGGGTATCTCAACGGGCCACACTCACTACACCTTGGAAGGCGATTTTTGGCATCCTCCCAAAATTTMTCAAGTTGATAAGATATGACGTC